CTCTCCCTTGCACACATTCTCTTGCACTTGCACAATCCCTCGCACGCCCCCCTGCGCTCCCCTGCTCCTTTCACACATTCATTGTCTTGCACTTGCACAATCCCTTGCACACCCCCACTCCCTAGCACACATCCATTCTCTTGCACTTGGACAATCCCTCGCACACCCCCCTGCACAGCCCCACTCCCTTGCACACATCCATTCTCTTGCACTTGCACAATCCCTCACACAGCCCCACTCCCTTGCACACATTCATTCTCTTGCACTCGCACAATCCCTCGCACGCCCCCTCCCCTCGCCCAGCCCCGCTCCCTGCACGCCCCCTCTTGCACACACACTCCCTCGTGTCCATACCCACCCTCTTGCACGCACCGCCTCCTGCGCAACCCATCTCCCTCGCACAGCCGCGCCCCCCACCCTCACACAACCGACCCCTCGCACGCCCCCCCCCCCTTTGCACACCCCCCCCATACCTGGCACACCGCCACCTGCACCATGGCATCGAAGCCGCCCTCGGGGGCGTCCATGTTGGCGGAGACCCGCTGGCTGCTCACGCGGCGCCTGAACTCGGCGCTGTCGTTGGTGAGCGGCAGGAGGTGGCGGAAGGCGGCGGGGGGGGCGCAGGGCTCGGCGGCGGGGCAGGGGCTGCGCTGGGGGGTCATCGCCGAGAAGGGCAGCAGAGGTTTGTCCACGAAGGAGCCGAAGCCTGAAGGTCAGAAGTCAGGAGCCGGGCTCAGCGGTGGGCGCAGGGGTGGCGGGCGGAAGGTTCTGGGTATTGGGGGGCTGGGGGCTCGGGGTGGGGGGGTGGGGGTCAGCGTGGCACCGATGCGCGCGGCGCTGGAGGCGTTGTGCAGAGCGCGCAGCATCTCGCTGCCCAGGCGCTGCAGCAGCCGCAGGTCGTCGCGCATGGAGTAGGAGAGGTCCAGCAGGAAGTAAAGGTCCACCGGCACCGCCCGCGCCCGCCGGAACCGCACGGCGAAGCTCAGCTCCTCACCTGGGGGGGGGCACCGTCAGAGCCCCCCCCCC